CTCTCTCTCTCTCTCTCTCTATCCAAGCGTGAGAAGGGGCACAGCCTCCGTCCCTTTCTCTCTTTCTCTCCCTCTCGCTCGGCATGGCTCGGCCAGCTGCATCTCATCCAACATGGACTTGATCTCCTGGGCCCATAGGAAGATGGGGGATGGATGCTGTTATCAAAAGAAGCTCACCACACTGGTGCTGAACCAAGCTTCCGATGTATTCACAGCGTGCTCTTCGAGATGTACGTGCCTCGGATCTTCACACTGGCTGGCTAAGCCCTGAAGACTCTATGCTCCACTGGGCACAGCATGTAACAGATCTCCAGCCTGCCCATGTACGGACCGAGTCTCGTGGGCTCACCGACCCCACCCGCACTAAAGAAAACACATCTGACTTTGAGGCATGCTGCAGGAGAGTTCACACGCGAATCTAGGAGTCTGGGAGTCTGGGCACGGTCCAGTTCACACACTTACTTCGCAGAAATGTTGCTAACATGTGCTTCTCAGTGGCCAAGCGTTAAGCACGATGTCTGTGGCCCACTCCTCTGCCTGAGTCATGCTCTGTCTGCTACAAGTACGTATATATGTGGTCCGTGAACATGCCCCAACAACGCAACCGATAGGGGGCACAGCTGACTGATCGAATGCATCGCGGCATCCCTAAACCCTCTCTTTGCGATTTGTTCAAGGCACCTTGTTGAGAGCACCAGCTGCGATCGGCTCGGTCTCCGGAGGGCTCTCGGGGTGATCAGTGTGTCCTCTGCTGGCCAGGCCGCAGCAAAGGCAGCAAAGGGCACCACAGAGCGAACCCAGGCCGAAGGCAGCGGCATGCAGTGGCCTGCTTCGCTAACTTCCTGGTCGAGGACTGCCTCCACGAGGTGTCTCTTTGAGGTAAAGTCCTCCGAGATTGTGAAAGACCGTTGCAAGATAGGGGAAAGGCTCGATCTGAAGAAAAGCCCAGCATGACCCACAGCGCAACGTGCAGAGGCGGTCCCAGGCCACGGAGACAGCCACGGGCTCGCTCCCAATGGCAGCTGTGATCGCCTCCTTTAGCTTCTCCTTCCACAGGGCAGCCAGGAGCCGAGCAGCGCGGCTGCAGCTACGGCGACGGCCTCGGCCTTCTCTTGACCGGTCATGGGCGCGAAACCTTCCAGCTTGGCAGCAAAGCCTGAACCCAGCTGTCGGCTCCACTCGGCGACCAAGAGAGCAGGCCCTGATATGAAACTTCACCCTCAGGAACTCTCGGCACCCTGCCACATTCCGGATCCCAACTCCCACAGAAGTATGACACCGCAGCATCACATGTCGTGCCAAGACTCTCTGCATGGTGGCATGCTCGGTGTGAACACTCTTGAAGAGCTTGGTTTGCTGAATGCCATAGAACACGGCCCCGCCAAAGGAGAAAAGGTACGCAAACACCAGCCAGGACACCTGCAGAAAATCATCACTCAACACAAAGAGCGCACAAGGACAAGTTTGACCAGACAGTGCCCGATTTAGACAATCGGAACGGTTGGATGCCGCGGGATGTTTGATGCATTAGGGCCTTCGAAGATCTTTGAAGCGAATGCTTCTCGCGGAGACAAGCCGACGTGGAAGAACTCTCAGGACTGGTTTCTTAACGGCTTTTGCGCCCGCAAGCCCCATGCAAACCACTGGTCTGACATGGAATTCTTCCGATCCATGCAGCAGATGTTTCGTAGCTCAAGACGGATCGCTGCCTTTGTCCAAACGAGCTCCATCTGGCGCGCATGGCCCCATGCAATGACTGCGCACAGCATCTGCGGGCTTTCCTTCGCCGACTCATGCCCCATGTCTGAGTTGCCAGAGCTTACAGCTAGACTTTGTCCAAGCAGCTGCTTCCCTGCTGCCAAGTATAAGCAAATCGGAGCTGACGAAGAGCACGAAGCCCAGCCAAGCCAGTAACAAGCCACTCGCCCAAACTAGCAGGGCGAACTGGTAGCGGAACAAAGCCTGGAGACAACATGCCAGCAGGGCCCTCGCTCCGTCACCCTACTGCAGCATGCACAACTAAACTCGTCTAATCCTTGTAATCCGCCAAGGATCCATGGTGCCAGGACCAGCTACATTTTCACGAAGCAAGTTGGTCGAGAGCGGGTACCTGGACACAGCCAGAGCCAGTCCGGCGCGCGCAGTGCTGCAGTGATCATCTGATCTTCCTAAGATGCGAGGTCACGGCTCCGTGGACCTCGGCTGCGTGAGCCGCATCCGCTCCCTGCAGTCCATACCATACCTTAGAAAGGTCGGGGCACGACTGCCAGAGCCCCGTCTCCGTGCCGTGGTCCCTTTGCCGCCAGAGGTGCTGGACCCCCTCCGGATTGACGCACGGTTTCGAAGCGATCAAGCAGTACCAGATCACAACAAGGATAGTTGCGATCCTCGCGGGCCGAAGGGCCAAGAGAGGAGCAAAGAATACACTGTCTCATCAACACCCTTTTGCAGACAAGAATCACCAGCACCACAGCAGCACCGATGAAGATTGCTAAGCCATGCATCTCGCACTCACCGTCCGCAGTCAGCCCATAGCCTCAGCTGGTCGTTCTGAAGAACAAGATAGCAAGGCACCCTGCGCAACTCCCACCATCCCCCCACGTCGAGCTGTTCCTTGCCACATGTGTTTGCATGTGTTTCCTACAAAAACCCCATGCAACAAGAAAGTGCCTCCTGCAACAGGCCGCCGAAAAGCCATAAGGCAAGCGGGCTCGAAGGCTCTGCCACTGCCTTGACCCTCCCCTGAACAACCCAAAGCCAAAACTTCCTGACTCCCTAACCCAGCCCGAAGCCCACAACGTCAGTCTCACACCCTACGCGCCCACCACATTGCACACCGGGTATTGGTCAGGTCTGGCAGAAAAACTCTGTTGGGGATGGCCTCTGATGTGAAGAGACCGAGCCTGGAGCCAAGCGCCATGCCATGCCGAGCGTCCGGGCATGCACTGCTGGCAGTTCTCCAGCTTTTCGCCTCAAAGTTAGTTGCACGGAACCCTTCTTGAGAATCTTGAGACTCTCTGTCTGCGTCAATGGCTGCTGAGCCGCCGCTCTGCCCTGGGCTCCCGGGAACACAGCGGGCACAGCCTTCGACGGCACAGTGGCGACAAAGCATCAACCTCAGGGAACGCTCCACCGTTTCGAAAGCTTCCTGAGTTGATCCCGACCTGTCATCCGGAATCGTAGCGTTCTCCACGGTTCCAAGGAGGCCGCACTCCTGCAGCACCAGCCGCTTCAGATGACAAGCCTTGTCGGGTAACCTCAAGCCCGCCCGCCGATAGTCTCTCGTACCACCCGAGCAGGTCACTCCGAAGGGCTACAGGGCTTCGTGCGCGAGATCTGAAAGCCTCTGCGACCTGAACTTTCTGTGCAAACGGGACGGGCTACCTGGTGATTGGTTGCTGTTGTGAGTATCACCCTCAGCAGTGCCAGCAGTGCACCATCCTGTCCTCCTTCTTTACGCACCGAAAATGGCAGAACCTCTCTTCATCCAGAGCTTCAAAGTATGCTTTGGCGCCACGAAGGCAGAGCTGCCAGCCGAGCAACTTATCGCTCATTTCTGCAGCATACGGGCAGACCTTGCCAGCCAGCGGGCAGGAAGAAAAACAGAGAGGGCCGAAGGCCGCGAAGGCGCCAAAAGGAAACAGAAGCCGGCCTTGGGGCACAGCTCGGGCCGTGCAAAGATGTCCTGGCTCCCGCTCCGCTCGGCACAGAGCCCGGCACAGCACAGCCACTGCGCGATTGGGGCACATGCGGATCAGATATGTCCTTTTCGCAGAGCGACTCGTCATCGCTTTGCACCTCCTCAGGCCTCGCTTTGCATCGATGCGTTTGCCTCGGGACTATAACACATTCTGCCTCGTCCAGTGGCCGCCGAGATGTCCTAGCCTTGGCACTCTTCAAGGCGCGAGAAGCGAGGAAGCGAGGGCCGTGGGCTGGCTATGGCTGGCTCAACTCTGCAGGCAGATGCAGTAAGGTCTCAGCCCTCCCAGATGTATTCGTGGTCCGTGTGCCACGCCCTCCTTGCGCTGCCGGCTACCCGGGGCTAAGCGGCACAGAACCGACATCGGAATCCGAGCTCTCCTGCGATCGCTCTCGGTGTACTTGCAGAAGGCTTCGCTGCTTTTCAGGACCTCCGTAGGCGAGTGGCATCCAAAGGAAATGCAAAAAATCACACCTGTTTTCTCGCCAGAGAGTGGCTCTCTTACAATTTCCCACTGTGTGCATGCGCCCTGCACCGACATTATACTCGGTTTCAGCAACGACCCAGACCAATGCTCGTGACTACACAGGAAGCCTTCGTAGCTGTCGCAGACTTCGGTTTGCGGGCGACCTGCGCAAAGCAAGCATAGTTTGGATGCGTCAGTGCCAACCTTGCACAGCCCGTGCGCTTTACTCCAAGGCCCTGGAAGACTCTAGTTGCTGTCATCGCTCGCATCAAACGCTTTCACTTTGACTAAATCCTGGCAGTGGCCTGCGAAAACGGAGACCAGGACGAAGGAAAATGAGGCCTATGCAGCTGGTACCCAGTGACGTGCAGCTGCAGCTCGTGCAACAACGGACATATGCCTGCAGCAGTAGCAGCATGGCGGTAGGATAGTCCTCAGTGCTCAGATTCCCAGATGGCAGCGTCTGATTTGAGTCACGAAAACAGAACGAGGATGCCTAGCATCATGAAATGTCTTGCTGGTCTATCGCTTTCGGCTGGCCAAGGCATCCAAGGCACTGTGGGACAAAGCTGTCCAAGGCGGTTACTACATGTAGATAATAAGGTCGAGCCGAAGCTGCGAGGAAGGACGCGAGTCGGAAAGCTGGCAGTACCACTATATTAGAGCTCCGAGGGTGGAACTAGGCTCACTCTGCGCCACTCAGTTTGGTCTGCACATTGCCCGGCGGCCTTGAGCCTCCTCCACTGCCGCCTGCAAGCATGGCACCAGCCCCGGCCCCAGCACAAGCCACAAGGCACTTTCGCCAAGAAGAGAACACGCTGTCACGACGTTGTCACGTTTGAGACTTGCAAATCTTGTGTTTTCACCTTCGTGTTGGCCAACAGGGTATTTGGCCTTGCATGCCGCCAGCTGCTCTTGGATCTCGGTCAACACCTGAGCTGCCAGGGACACCACCCCACGCACGACAAGCGACAAGCGCCTCGCTGCTACTCAAACCTTTTGCACGCCCGTGGCACCTCATCGATGCCCCGTCCCTCCAGCAGTTGGGTCACCTGTGAGGCCAAGGACCAGGTGCAAGCCGGTCTAGACTGGTTGCGCCATCATTGGCCCATCCTTTAGGGCAGACGCCCCAGGCGCGGCCTTCGCCTTCAAACTCAGTGGCTTTCCTTTCGGCTTTGGCTTCAGCTTCGCCTCAACGGTTTTTCCGCTTCTGTCACAGCCCGGCACTGTGTGCTGATCTGCAGACTGACTTTCAGGCCTCGTCAGCAGGCTTGTCCTGTTCTTCAGCAGGCTCCTCGTTGGAGCTGCCCAACCAGTACTTGCCGCAGCCATTGCATGACAGAGCGAAACTGAGCAAGTCAACATCCACACTCTGCTTCCCCAGACGAGCAACAGCCGCACATAGTCTGACAAAAGGCCCTGTGCATCAGAAACTTGATCCTTGGCTTTGCTCTTCGCCTTCGCTTTTGCCTTAGCCTTCGCCTGAGCAGTGCATCGGTGCGAGTGACTTCCATCACACTGACAAATGTGGTCACTCCATGGCCTTTGCTTTTCCTTTGGCCTTGCCCTTGGCCTTTGCCTTCGCCTCAATGACAAGACTTCGGGATGCTGTCGCCTTTGCAAGATCAAAGTTGATCGGTGCCTTGGCCTTTGCTTTCGCTTTGGCCTTGGCTTTAGCTTTGGCCTTGGCCTTGGCTTTGGCCT